CGATCAGACAAAAATATTAAACAAAGTAATATGCTAATAAATATTTTTATTAACAATGTATAATTACTAAACATTGGATAATATAATAAAGAAAAATATAAAACAAAAAAGTTCTTCAATAACTATATAAGTCTTTTTAGTTTAATAGAGATTTTATTATTGGGTATATCGTATTGACAAATAAGATGATAATTTAAATTTATTAAAGTAATACGATCTAATATGTTCAAAAAAGCCCGATTAGGATTTAATTTAACTAATATTGTTTAATACTGACTGCGCATCGCGCGGGTACGACTACTAGTTTGAAAAGAAAAATAAAGGTTGGAATACATCACCCCCTTAGGGAATCAATGTCTTTGCTAAGGTTTTTTCCACTATTGTATAGAAGGAGTGTCCGGCCTCTGAGTATTTTTCGCTTTAACCTAATACATTCACCGATTTGCCTCTCGGGGTTACACCATCATCGATCATGTTACTTTGTAATGTGCTATATAAAGTTTTTCGCTTTCCTCTCCCATTTTGATGTGAGACTCTTAACCTAAGGTATCATGCACACTCATTCATCATAAGCATGTTAGTCCTTTTTTGTTCGTCCTCTTCGGACCGTCCATGGGCGGCTCAACGACTTTAGTAGCCAAAAACAGAATTTTAATAAGAATCTAAATTTTATACACCTATACAAGTATATGCAAAAACTTTGATATTGTCTTTTTTTCTTCTGTACTTATTTATATAATAGTATTTATACAAGATAATTGACTTTTAGCTTCATTTAGTAATATTATTATTATTTATATTATCAAGGGTTAATTCAAGTTAATAAGATGTTAGGCATATGGTTGCAATACATTGCCTTGGATCTTGATGTAAAAAACTTTATTTGCTAATACAAAGATTTGAGTAGTTTAATTCGAAGTTCTAGAATATTTCTTATGTTAAATAGTAAATATTCTTTGTTTTTTTTAAAACCTTTTTACACGGATTTTATACTTTTTTCTACAAAGTTCAAAATTGTCTAAGTCAAAATATTATTACATATTTTACCATTAAAATTTTTAGACTCCTAACCTAAGGTATCATGCACACTCATTCATTATAAGCATGTTAGTCCTTTTTTGTTCGTCCTCTTCGGACCGTGCATGAGCGGCTCAATGACTTTAGTGGCCTAAAGCCGAATTTTAATAAGAATCTAAATTTTATACACCTATACAAGTATATGCAAAAACTTTGATGTTGTCTTTTTTTCTTCTGTACTTATTTATATAATAGTATTTATACAAGATATTTGACTTTTAGCTTCATTTAGTAATATTATTATTATTTATATTATCAAGGGTTAATTCAAGTTAATAAGATGTTAGCCATATGGTTGCAATACATTACCTTGGATCTTGATGTAAAAATTTTTATTTGCTAATACAAAGATTTGATTAGTTTAATTCGAAGTTCTAGAATATTTCTTATGTTAAATAGTAAATATTCTTTGTTTTTTAAAACCTTTTTACACGGATTTTATACTTTTTTCTGGAAAGTTCAAAATTGTCTAAGTCAAAATATTATTACGTATTTTACCATTAAAATTTTTTGGGGCCTCAAAAATTTTTGGGACCTAAAGCAAAGGCTTTACTAGTCTCACCCTTGAGCCACCCATGGAACCGTCCTTTATTACCGACGTCAGATAACTTTCACTTAAGAAAAATCAACTATTTTCAATACACATTTTTCCATTTTCAATATGTCATTTAAAGTTCAGCAATCAGCAAATACTCATTCTCAAACAAAAATTGTAAATACTGAATTAATTTTTATGCCAAACGGGATATTATCGGACTCCTATCCTTACCACGAGATGCTTGAAAGGGATTGCTTGCACCAAAAAAAAAAAAGGGATTGCTCATAGGCCATAGCGATAAAGCTAACTAGCTAAGAATATTCCAATATGATTCCAATATAGCTATGAACACCATTAGGATGACTGTTTTTGTCTTAATATCTTTTTATATTCTATTTCGGAATTCGCTTAATATTTTATAGATAGTACCTTCTATTTGAATATCAGGAAGCTAATCAGGTTACTGTTTTCTTTTCTGATAGAATTCCATGACATAGATGACCAGATTTACACTTGTAATAATATTTCTTGCGAGTTCTTTGAGAAGGAATATTTGCCTCAAATTATTATTATCAGTCTCCTACCTTACGAAAAAGAAAAAGAAAAGAGTCTGAAGTGACACTACCTACATAAGACAACTCAGTAAGCTACAAAAACAGCAAAACTAAAACCACAACAGCGGAAATCCCCTTTTCAGCTTTACAAATTTGAGTAACCCCACTACTACAAGGTAAAATTATTGAGAATGCCGTTGGGCTTAAACGACCCAATGACACTCTTAACATGGTGTGATATTGTCCGTTTTGGGCCAAGCCCGCACGGTTTTCCCTAAAAGGCCTCACACCATTAAGAGATCCCTACACTTTATATGTAGACTCCCAATCTTTTCAGCTACCAATGTGGTACTTTGTTTGCACACCCAACAATCTCCCCCTCGAACTAAGTTCCACGTGGCCCATTACCACGATCCACGGGTCAATTTTCGAGATTATTGTGTGCCACCTACATTGTTAGAGTATTATGGCAACCGAAGCCCGCAACTAGCTTCTTCTTGTGTGCCTGCCGCCCCGCACCATCACTCCGCCATCTCCATACTCGTCCCACTGAACCTGGGCTCTGATACCAGTTGTTCGGCTAAAACGGCCCAATGACACTCTTAACATGGTGTGATATTGTCCGCTTTGGGCTAAGCCCGCACGGTTTTCCCCAAAAGGCCTCACACCATTAAGAGATCCCTACACTTTATATGTAGACTCCCAATCTTTTCAGCTACCAATGTGGTACTTTGTTCGCACACCCAACAATCTACGAAACTCTTTCCCGTTTGGCCATATATTCTGCTAAAATATATTTGGATTTTTTTGGCAAATTCATATTTGGCCATAAATTTTATCTACATTTTGGCAAATTTCCAAAACCCAAATCCCAAAACCACCTCAGAGCTGATTTTGGCCCAAAATGTCTCTATTATATTTTTTTAAAATTGTCCCAAACTTTTGTATTTTATAAAAGAGCCCACCATTTATTATTTTGTAACCATGCTGCTTCGTCTTCTCGGTCATCTGATAATGTATTATGTAGTTCATTATAAAAATGATAATTTTGTACCAAATTTATTTATGTTCAGGACTATTGGTTTGTGCTAATATAATGAATGTTATTGATAAAGGTTTTGTTGTGTATTTGTGATAGTTTTTAAAACTTGTGGGTATAAATCATGTTTCGTGTTTTTTCAAAAAAAAAAAGTGAAATATGTTTTGAAAACTCATGTCCAAACACATTTTCATCTTTAAACCAAACTTCACCTAACTCAGTTTTTTCAAAACAAATTTGATAATCATTGGCCAAACGCTAGTAATTTGACCTGAATATATCCTATATTTACTTACAGGGTAGAAACAATAAAAATAATACATAATAAGTAAATATATAACGGTACATGGATTTTAAATTTTAAAATTTGTCTAAACATGTCGAATAATATTGTTTGTAAAACAAAATTTCATAAGAGAAAGAACAAAATATGCTTTAAGCGGGAAGTAAAACGGAAGAATTATAAAATTGAAGCCTACTACTGTAATTAGAAAAGAGTTCAGGACCAAATTTAAATTCCACCAAATGTCACATTTTATCCGCTTCCTTTCAGGTGTCTCTGTCTGCCACTGCAAAATTTCAGGTCTACGCTATTTTAGCAAAAGTACATTACTACTACTAGTATATATCCCAGGCCCCCACTAATTTCAAATTTATTTAAATTTCCTTCATCAAAATCCAACGGTTCTTTCAATCCAAATCATCATCCTATTACTACATACTCGACCAAAAATGATAAATTTTCAAAATTTCATATCCATTATTTTCTATTTTGGTTCTATCTGAACGGCAGTTTTTGTTTTTCTAAATATAAAACCAACCAACACACGGCACACAAAAGTGAACATCCTTTTCCCCTTTTTCTTTCTGATAAACCAGAAAAAAGAAAAAAAAAAGAATCTTCTTCTTCATTAGATAATATCTATTTCTATCTTTAGGCAATTTTGCTTCTCTTATTCTCTGTCTTCCTCAAAAAGTTTGTTTACTCGACATAATGAGCCACCCCCATGTTCTTGATTTAGCCTAAAAAGAAGTTCCCTTTTATTTTCCCCTTATTGGAATGAGAAATTTTTTGTACATATAATTCTTACTTCTGACGGAAAAAAAAGGATGTTGTCCGTTTCGCCAAATTCTATGGCGCGTAGTTCGTTAGAGGAAATGCTGGAGACTCTCCGGAAAAGGGACGAAAATGAGAAACCCAAAGACTTGCCACCGGCATTACCGGCTCGGCCGAAGCTTAAATCCAAGACTAGGCCTCCCTCACCGAAGCGAACGTTGCCCAATAGCTTCGGAATTAAAGGAGATGTTGAATTGGAGAAGAATAGTAGCAAGAAATTTGAAGAGTCTAAAGGGTTGCAAAGGAATGCTAATTTTGGGGCTTATAAGAAGGTTAAAGGAATGGAACTTAATATCAATTATTTTATTAACAAGGTAAATAATAGTTACTGTCATAACTACATTGTCTTCATTTCTGTAAATTTACTGTCTTTATTCATATAACTCTAGTTTCAGGTTGATCCGTAGTTGTTGTAGTTATTCTTATAATTACCTTAATTCAATGATGGATTCGTGAGTAGTTTTGGAGCTCCACCTGTTTTCTCAATTGTGTTTGTTTTTTTTTTACTGTTGGAAGATTTTGAGGGTTGTTCTAAAGATAGTGTTTCTATGTAACTAAGAGCTATATTTGTGTTTCAGAAGCTCCGCATCTGGTGTCGCCTGAGGAATGGACAATGGGTATCAGGACAGATTCAATCATCTTCAGGAGATAAAGCTACAGTATTACCATCTGATCGCAGTGTGAGTTCACGTATACCTGCTATTCCTAAATGATGAATATTTAAAGTTACTAGCTGCATCGGACTTACACATTGTCGTACTATAGGTTGTGACAGTGCCTGTAGGAGAGCTTTTACCTGCTAATCCCAATGTTCTTGAGGGTGTGGATGATCTAATGCAACTTAGTTATTTGAACGAGCCATCAGTTCTTCACAACCTTCAACGCAGATATGCACGGGACATAATATATGTGCGTAATACTAAACTGCATTTATGCCTCGTTTTGTAATTTCATGTCTCTCCTCTTTTAATTGTTTCCTGTCCCACCATGCCTGCAGAGTAAAGCAGGACCTGTTTTAATAGCAATCAATCCCTTCAAAGATATCCAATTGTATGGGGACGAATTTGTTACAGCTTACAGACAGAAGCTCTTGAATGATCCTCATGTTTATTCTATTGCTGACACTGCATACGATCGAATGATGGAAGGTTTTCCACAGAACCATATTCTTTGTTAATTATACAAAAAAAGTTCATTGTTAGCTCTTTTAAAAACTTTAGATGCAAACAAATCCTAATTTCTTTGCTTTTACCTTCTGAATCGTGCAGATGAAATAAGTCAATCTATTATCATAAGGTTGGTGAAAATGTCTCTTTGTTATCTTTAGTGCTGCGAGATACTTAGTGTGTATTTCTACTCTGGTTCAGTGATTGATGTCTTAGATAGTAATTATCAAATCATGATGATTTTAGATTGGGAGGAACTAATTTCTCTTCATATCATACAGTGGGGAAAGTGGATCTGGGAAGACGGAAACAGCAAAGATTGCAATGGAATACTTGGCTACGATTGGTGGAAGCAGTAATGGAATAGAGAGGGAGGTGCTGCAAACAAGCTACATATTAGAGGCCTTTGGGAATGCCAAAACTTCCAAGAACAACAACTCTAGTCGATTTGTCAGTCTCTATGCCTGATTCTTTTCTTGTTTACTTTCCTTTATTTCCCCATTTGTTGCACTTGTTCTGACAGTTGTCCCTGATGGCTGCAGGGAAAGTTGATGGAAATTCATTTTAGTGCAACAGGAAGGATATGCAGTGCTAAAATACAAACCTGTAAGTGTGTCTACAAAATTTGATTCAGATATTGCAGTTTATTGTAATTGTCCTTTCATAACTGTTTTGGCATTGTTACTGACTTTTATAATTCTTTGTGCATGTCCAATGTGCTAATGCTAAAACAATGAGTAGTACTTCTTGAAAAGGTGGGATTTTCTTCTCCTCTCTACCCTGGATCTTCGTATTGCATTTATGTCAGTACAATTGCAATCTAATTCTTTTGAAACATAATGTCTTCTTTGGGCAGTCGAGAGTAGTTCAGCTGGTCAATGGAGAGAGGTCCTACCATATCTTTTACCAACTATGTGCCGGGGCTCCACCTGCTTTGAGAGGTCTGTAATTGATAGACCTTCTATTGTGCTGTTGTTGCTTATTTCACTCGTAGGACTTCACATGGCTTTAAACATTGCCGTCTCCATTGGTAGTGATTGTTTAATTAATCAGCAATGTAACTTCTTTGCCAAAACAACTTCTGTTTCTGATGCTGTGTGGTTACAACTCCTGAGATGTTTTCCGCATATCTTTCCCTGAACTGAAACTTCTGTGATCTTAAAGATGAAGCAGGGGCTGTGATTTTGAAGTTGTAAACAATCAATGTAGTAGGATATAAGAGTAAATTAATAGACACAACTTAGTAATCCAGCAAGATCTTCTTAAACATGGAAGTGGGACTGCATCATAAGGTGGTCTGTAAAGAAAATCATAAGGACCAGCGATTGAATCCCAGCAGAGGCGTCAAAACTAGGTGGTGTCTTCCATGTCTAAGCTATGGTGGGTAGAGTCACTCAAAAACGTATGTTCTGGTGGGAGGATGCACACAACCTGTGAAATATGAGCGCTGTGGCGCCAGCTAGCCCGGACACCAGTGTTATTAAAAAAAGTGGAAGTGGAACTCTGGAGCAGAAAAATCTAGAAGTTAGGCATACAGCTGATGAATCATCTATAATGTGAGAAATTTTATTGGAGTTAAAAACTCTGTTTAATGGAAGTTCTTTCAATATTATTTGTATATAATTTTTTGTTTTACTAGAAAAGACAACATTTAAGAGATTGAACTGACTTTTTCTTGATTAAAAAAAAGAGAGATTGAAATGACTCTTATACTTCTGGTGCTCTATAAATTTTCTGTTTTGGTTTTGTAGGACCTAGAAGTCACAACGGTTTCTGTACAACTTTAGATAATTCTTTGTTTCTATTTCTCTACTTTAGGAGGGCAGGGTGTTAGTTAAAGATTCTACTTTTTGTTGATAAATTAGTTATAGAAGTTGCAGAAAGATTTCTTCTTGAGAACTTCTATGTGATTCATTCTCAGTTAAACTTAAGTTGAAAGGTGCATCTGAATACAAATATCTCAACCGGAGTGACTGCTTGGTGATCCATGATATTGATGATGCTGAGGAATTTCGTAAGTTTATGGTGAGCCTTAAGGGATAAGACATGGTCAACTTATGTTTGATTTCTGTTCTTTCAGTTCAATACCATGCTGGATCTTTTTTGTAATTATTTCCTTTGTTTCTCTTACTTTCCCCAGGAAGCCCTAAATACTTTTAGGATTTCTGAAAGGGATCAAGAGCATGTTTTTCAGATGATTGCTTCAGTTTTATGGCTGGGAAATATAACATTCCAAGTAATTGACAATGCAAGCCATGTTGAAGTTGTGCAAAGTGAAGGTGGGCTATCTTGTCAATGTAGCATTAGCTAATGTTGATCCTCTTGTACTTTTGTTCAAGCTGAAAGTAAATACAGATATGATTTTTAACCCTCAGTGGTTGGCCTGGTGGCAATTGGCTTGAGCCTTGGGGTTTGCTCCCTTTCAAGGTCTCAAGTTCGAAACCTACTGGGTGCAAACAATTTCTGAGGGCCATCGGACTGGGTAAAACCTGAATTAACCGTGGTGCACTTGCGGGAAACTCCTTGCCGAGGGCCTGTGCACCCCCGGGATTAGTCGGCTCATAGAGACTCGGACACCCGGTGCAAATCAAAAATAAAAAAAATAAAATACAGATATGATTTTCATAATCTTATACATATATAAGTAATTGTACTCTTGTTAATTGTAAGTTAACTTTCCAACTGTGAATCTCTTGACTTAGCTTTTGCTCAGCATCCATATAATCGGTTTCAGCTTAAACACTTTCTTCCATTTTGAGTAAAGGGCAGTCTATCATATTTCTCATTGTCAGCTGGCTGCTTTTCTCTGGAGTAGCTATGTTACCTCCAGAAGTACTCTTGTTAACTCCATTTCTCTGCAATATTGAGGGTCTCTCTTAGGCTTGTCCACTTTTTGGGCCATGAGTGTTTTACATTGTTATAGAGGCTCTGTTGTTGTGATTCATGCGAATCTCTTATGCTTCTTATGATAATTCTTTCCTGCACCTCTTGTATGGTCTTACTTTGTAACAATAATTGTGAAGTTTCTTGCTTCACTTTGTTTGCAAGGTCTTCAACTTTTTAGTATTCATTTAGATTCTGTGCTTCCATGGAGGCCGTTTATCTGTTTGGTTTCTCACCATCTTTTATGTTGCAGCTGTTACAAATGCTGCTAGCTTGATTGGATGTAGAGTAAATGACCTCATGCTAGCTTTATCAACACGTCAAATACAAGTCGGCAAGGATAAGGTTGCCAAGAGTTTAACTATGGAGCAGGTAAATCGAAGTGCTTATATTCCATCTCTTGCTGATTTTCTTTTTTCACATTTTCATCCTGATATTTACCAGAAGATGTGCTATTTTCATTAATTATTCTTATATATGAATTTAGCACTCCTATTTCTTCTCTTGAGAACGTGACTCATGTTGAATCTGATTCAGGCAACTGATAGAAGAGATACATTGGCGAAGTTCATTTATGCAAACTTGTTTGACTGGATAGTTGATCAAATGAATAGAAAGCTTGCAATGGGTAAAGAACAGACGGGTAGATCCATAAATATTCTGGATATTTATGGTTTTGAATCATTTAAGGTAAATTTATTTGTGTCTTTTTTAAAAAGAACTATTATACTGCATAGGAAGATTTCTTGTATCCAACTTGACAGTCCCATTCCCACTTTTCAGAGAAACAGTTTTGAACAATTTTTCATAAACTATGCAAATGAGAGGCTCCGGCAGCATGTCAACCGACATCTTTTGAAACTTGAACAGCAAGAGGTAAGCATATCATGATCCTTCCTAGTTCATTCTTATTGCTTCATCCCTTTCCTCTACTAACTTCTTTAACTGAAAGGAGGTAAAAAGGAACAAGTCTCTTTACCGGTTTTGCATAAGCTGACTATAACGAGTGAAACTTTTTAGGAGAACTGGAGCTGAGAAATTGTAGTAAAAAATAGCACTTGTCTTACGCGTGCTAAACTAGCTAAGCCCCGAACAAACTGTCCCTCTCCAAGGCTCAAAGCCTGTGACCGACTCGCACGACTGACTCAATATGACCAGTTCCGGGATCAAATGTCCATTCTTAAACCGTCCCTTACGAGCCGGAAAAATGGTACGAGTGCCCTATATTTACTGGCCATGACTTCAATTTGTTAAGCCACGAAGCCCCTGCGCCAATTCCTCTGCCCGAGTCTCAAGGGATAAGGTTGAGAGTCCAACAAACTCCTCAATCAACCCCGAACAATCTGGGGGAGATTTGCACCATAATGGTCCATGACCTCATTCGTGTCTCTTCAATGGAGACTCCACCTACACTTGGACCCTAAGAGACCCATGTCCTATATAAGTCGGACTAATGAACGAGCAAAGGCATCTAATCCATTCTTTATCACCTGTCATCAAGGCAATCAAACTTCAAGCTTACTACTTCCAGCTCTCAGCTTACTTTCCATACTTAATGCCATTTCCATTTTCACTCATAAGCTTTCTTAGAATTAGCCTTGTACTTTACATATTCAAAGGAAACAGTGTACGATCATGGATTTGGGATGTTGAATAAAACAATACGCTCTCTCTTCCTCTCTATTCACTTTTTTCTCATTTCAATTGTATTGATTATTTTGTTTGTACTGCTAGTACCCTACTTCCTTATCAACCGTAGAGTAATTTACCTTCTACAGAATCTATTAGGGCATTTAAGATCAGTGGCTGCTGCAGAAATTTTTATGTTACGCAGAAAAACACAAGATTGTTTGACTCAGATTTTTCCTGTCTGTAGTTTTCCTGTTGTATTTTCGGGCTTTATTTACTCTCCTGAAGATATTCCTTGCAGCATCATTTTTAGATGTCGATGCAAGAACTGATGTCTTTCATTTCAGGAATATGAATTGGACGGAATTGAGTGGACAAAAGTAGATTTTGAAGACAACCAAGAGTGCCTGGATCTTTTTGAAAAGGTATTTCTGCCTTTTGGTTCTTTTTCCTATTTACTTGGCGTCAGGAGTTCATATAATCTGCTAGCTTTCTTCTGTCCTGGTCCTGGATCACGAGTTTACTTTCGTTCTTAATTACGCAATCACACTATTGTTGCTCTTTTTCCTTTTTGGCCTTTTACATCTTTTCCCCGTTTAGTCTTACTCTTTCCATGTTTAATTGTTGAGTTGGATGCAAAGGATAAAAATGCATCTGTTCGTATTGTCACAAGTTCTATTTGATATAGCTGCCACCACGATTTTCTTATCGTTGTATTCCTTCTTATGGGTTAAGTAGTGAAAATGCAATATATCGAGTTAATCATAAAGAAGATCTCTGTATTTTGGCTACGCAATTTACCACATGCATTTGAATGGACATACCAGTTGATCGATGAACTGTCATTTTTTCACTTTTGCAGAAACCCATTGCGCTTATATCTTTGTTGAACGAAGAATCAAATTCCCTAAAAGCCACTGATTTGACCTTCGCGAGTAAACTTCAGCAGCACATCAAATCTGACCCTTGCTTTAAAGGCGAAAGAGAAGAATTTCATATTCGCCATTATGCTGGAGAGGTCAGTTTCTCTTATAAATGCATCTTTTCTTGTCATGTGCTATAGTTCTATGGATATTAAGTAGTATTTTCTTGTCATCTAGTACTTAATTACTCAGTTTGTCTAACTCTATGGAATCTCCGAGTTAATTACTCATTATAGTTGTCTAACTCTGGACAAAGTAACTATTTATATTTGTTTTTTCCAGGTTACTTATGATGCAACTGGCTTCTTAGAAAAGAATAGAGATGCACTGCATTCTGACATTATTCAGCTACTCTCATCAAGTGGCGGCCAGCTACCTCAGCTGTTTGCCTCTGTTTCTGCTAATGAAGATACAAAATTCTCAAGTCCATCAACCTATACGGGGGTGCCAGATTTTCAGAAGCAAAGTGTTGCAACTAAGTTTAAGGTGTTTATTTTCTCAACTTCTCTATAGAACTTGATCATGCTAACAAACTGAACACTTAAGAAAATAAAAGTTTGTATCTCAGGGTACCCCGATAGTTGCTCAAGGTTTCCCTTTATAAAAAATTTCTGGCAGGATCATTTGTTCAAACTGATGCAGCAGTTGGAAAATACAACACCCCACTTCATATGTTGCATAAAACCAAATAATAAGCAGGTTCCTGGCATGTGTGACAAAGATCTTGTCATACAACAGCTCAGATCCTGTGGTGTTCTTGAGGTGGTTAGAATATCAAGATCTGGCTATCCTACTAGGTTAACACATCAAGAATTCACAAGCAGGTGACATACTTGATCCTTAGTTTGTCGCTGACTTGTTCTTTTTGGTTGCTTTTTTTTTTTGAAAAGATTTTTGGTTGCTTTTCGACTTATATGAATGCGGTATTTTAGGTACGGCTTCCTTCTGGTGAAGGATAATGCATGTCAAGATCCTCTAAGTATGTCAGTTGCCGTTCTTCAGCAGTTTGATATTCTTCCGGAACTGTACCAAGTTGGATACACAAAGTTATATTTCCGAGCAGGACAGGTGAGCTCATAGTTCCTCGTTTTCTGACATGAAAGATAGGTTTTCTTTTCAAACAATAATGTCATTGCCCTAATCATCAAAAAGACACACCAGAAAGTTTAAATCTTTTCTAATTTTTACTACTATATAGTTGAAGCAAATTATGACAAATAAAAGTGTGGTGCATTGATATGAGCGCAAGCTGGCCGGGACACCATCATCTTTTAAAAAAAATAGGTGTGGTGTCTTCCAAACTGGTGACATCACATTGAGGCCATGCATATGTCCTTTTAGAGAAGGTTTGTGAATAGTCCCATGCATATTGGAAAGAAGAACAATCAGAAAAGAAGAAAAATATGGTTTATGGCTAACATAATTCCTCTGATATGTATGACCAATACAGTCTTCTAATGAGGCAATGGGTTTATACCATTGAAGATTGGATTTCCTTTTGTGTGCCTATCTTTGAACTTCTGTCTCTCTAACATGTAGATTGCTGCATTGGAGGATGTGAGAAACCAAGTTCTGCAAGGTACTCTTGAGGTGCAGAAGTGCTTTCGTGGTCATCGTGCTCGTCGTTACTTCCATGAGCTGAAAGGAGGAGTAATCACACTTCAATCATGTAAAGCAGATCCCTCTGCAGCTCTTTTTTTCCTTTTTCTTTTGTATACAATAGAAGATGATATTCATGAACAATGTTGTGTCTATCAGTTTTTAATGAGTATATGTCCATTTGAGGACTACATTAGATATCTTCAAAGTGTAGAGCATCAGGGCTGCCATTCCGATGATTTTAGAAAAAGAATAAATATATAATTTCCTGCTATTTGAAGCAATGCTGAAAGTTCCAAAAGTAACTAGTGATATAAGCCAGTTCAATTCTGAGCTGATGCATCAATATAGTAAAATTTTAAGACTTTCAATGCTGAATTTTACCTGATATTCTGACTAAAAATTTGTTCTTGTAGTTATTCGTGGTGAAATAGCAAGAAACCGGTATAATACTTCGGTGGGGTCTAAGGCAAAGGTGGCTCACAAAAGTGATGAGCAGCTGGTGGCTGTTGTGCAGATGCAATCAGGTAAAGTTATTTCTATTGGTATCTTTGTGATTATGAAATCAAATATATTTACACGTCTTTTTTGTTGCAGCTATTCGTGGATGGTTGGCTCGAAAGGATCTTAATAAACTGCAGAGTGCAAAAACGTTAAATGAAGACATCTCAAAAACAGGCAGAAAAATGGAGGCCAAGGTACTCTATCATAAAGATTCAAAGATATCCTTACTATTACTAGGTCACTTTGCCTCAGTTTTTGTTCTCTTAATAGAACATATAACAGAATAATTGGTTTTCTATAAAAGCTTTTCCATAATTTTTTATTGAACTTTTCTTCTTTCTTCGTTCAGAATTGTAAAATCTGCTTCGGGACTAATATCTTTAAGAATTTGGTGGCCTGTTTGATGAAGCCAACTTTAGGTATTCCTTTTTTTTTTCTTCATTTTTTTGGGATATTGAATCCAATTTTGGGTATGCAATTGCATTTCTGAAGCCAGGGCAGTTACATTCTACTAATCCTGCAGATGAGTACCGAAGACTGAAGTGCAGGTTTGAGGAATGGAAAAAAGATTACAAAGTCCGGTTAAAGGAGACAAAGGCAAAAGTACACAACCTTCGTTTTCCTAAAGCAGGGAAGAATCGTAGAAAATGGTGGGGTAAGAAGAGCAAGTGATTTTAGCTTAAAATCAGTCGTTTTCTTCCTTGGGGTATTTTAAAATGTGAAAACTAATTTCCCCAACTTATGGTTGGTAACATAGCAGAGTTGGTGGAGATTGGGAAATAGTGTGTGCGCTCGGTTATGGATCCTCTGATCCCTCCCCTAGATAGTTAAGAGCGTGTTTGTAAACAATGCTAGGTTGTGTAATTACACTAGATAGCTGTATTAATGCTATTGCTTGATATGTGCCTAAACACTAACAATAAATTTGGCTATGGTGTTTTTATATATTCAGCTCATTACAAGTGATAAATGTTTGGAGAATATACTCCTTCCCATTTTATGGGGTCTCATATTCTCAGCTATCTTAATTTGCCAGTGTTATATTCATGGATGGAGTGAGGGATGCGGAATGGATTCATCATCTTTTGTCGAAAAATTACACGAGGTATATAAAGTTATTTTTTAAAATGAAACTACAGGAATAGTCACAAATAGACAATATCTACCAACAATCAGCCACTACCAAAAATAGCCATAAAAAGTTATGAATGATATACACACTTAAAAAACGTAAGCAAAAATTTTTACATGAGTCAAATACAGAAGAACTCATTATGAATTGATTACGTCCAATGATTAAGCCCTGGTCAAAGAGATTTCACCTTGGCAATTGGTTTTTCTGTAGTAACTACAAATAATTTGGCCCTCTCCGCCCGTAGAGCTTCCAGCTCTCCCTCTAATTCAGAAAATTTTGACTCATAGTGCTCAGACATCTTTTGTATTTCAAGTTCAGCTTGTGCTGCCTTTTCCTCTAATTTTGAAAGCATTTCATCATATTGCTGTGGCAATGCCTTGTTTATTTCACCTTTTGATTGTGCCTCTTGCTGCCTCTGCCTGTAGCCATAAGCCAATCTTGCGCCCTAAAGTAAAAATTATTGGTTATCTTAGACAAAGATGTCAAACAGATTATGATAAAAGGAGCAAAGTAAAAATTGCCACGAGACAATGTATGTTGCAAAGACTTACAAACATGTAGACTAGAGCAGCGGCACATTTGCCCATTATATCTTGCACTTGTTTTTCTTCCAGTGGGGGTACTTCTCTAGCAGCATTTTCTCCAAAAAGAAACCTAGTACCCCCCGTCTTAATTTTGGATCCATAAATACGGGCTTGCTGAAGCACCCTAGGGTGCTCAGTCACATATTAGCGATGGGCTCTACCACGAATTTCAGAACAGTATGCATACCTACCTGCACATATAAATATTACATGATTAGGCATTTCCGAGAGACTCACCCTTAGCTATTGACATGTCAACTGCAATCTGCAATTATCTGAAAATGGAGAGCTAGAGAAGATTCACAAGAAGTGGTTAAACAGAAAAGTTTGTGAAGGGCAGAGCTCTGAAGCAGATTCAGAACAGCTTCAGTTGAAGAGCTTTTGGGGTCTGTTCCTCATTTGTGGAGTTACTTGCTGTTTTGCTCTGCTTGTATATTTCTGCTTCATGTTGCGACAGTTCAAACGACATTTTCCTGAATTAATTCTACTTCTACTAGAACTAGAATCGCTCACTCTCAAAATTGGTCTCAGACCAAAACTCACCAAGAGTTACTCTTGACTATCTTTTACGGTAACATGTCTTATCTCTTAAATGTAAAAGCTCATGGAGAACAAGGAACATTCATGTATACTTAACATCCCTCTTCTTTTATGAGATTGCATACCAAACTTTTCAATCTCAAGTTAGAAAACAGGATCTGATTCTACTCACATCACAAAACCTTTATGTTACAGTTATCAGAAAATCATAGAAAAGAGCTCAAGGTCCGCTGGGGCTTTACGCAAAAACCACAATCAAAGAGTGGACTACAGTAAATAAAGGAATAGAATGACTTTCCCAACTTAAACAAAAGAGAATGTCTAACGATTTTCAATGTAATGACAAAAATTGTAATTCTAATCTTAGTTGACATTGTCGGTCAATATTTTATTTTAAAAATTCGAGCACTTATAATGGTGATCGAAAACAGTTTCTCTACCTCCAAGGTAGGAATAAGGTCTGCCTATGCGCTACCTTATCTAGACCCTAATATGGTTAAGTTCACCATAACATCAGAAAGAACAAAAAGTACGAACAGTTACGCTAAACAAATGAACAAATACACAATCACCAAACACAAACACATTTTATCTATATAGGTATAGGTAACTCTAGTGATGAAGAAATCAAGTTGCTTCTTTAGTGCTGTTCACTCCTACTTGATGCTTTTAACGGTACGGACAAGCTACTTCTTTTTGGGAATTGATTTGCGAACTAGTTGTCATGTTTATTCGATCAAATTTATGCAAAACTTTCATATGCCTTCCCTATTTCCTCTTTATATGGGAACATTAGTAACTGCATCAACAGAAAGTAAACAAACAGTTGAGCCACCACATACAACATAGAATCAATCACTTTATTTTGAATGCAAGTTTCTTTAACTAAGTGACTATATTAAATTCTATTTGTCCAGCGTCATTCCTATTAAGAAAAGACAAAGATCCTGGTATAAGATGTTCTGAAATCACCTGACGATTAACAAGGATAACTTGGCTCTTTCTTTGACTAAATTTTCTATCGAACCGCAACACTAAGATCATATCACCATTTCATCTTATAGAGATAAAATCGAAGATAAATTTATCACAGCACATCCATAAGTTTGAAGAGACACCCTTTTCTGAAAAAGGCTTAAATTACGGGCTGAAGTAGAAGTAAAAATGTGAAAGGTGAAAATATATTAAAACAAGACTATGTTAAGTCTCTACTCAGCAATGCACTCAAGCACCATCAGTGGCAGTTAGGACACACAAAATCCCGCAAACAACTGCCTAAACCAACATAAATTACTCCCTTGGCCCGACCAATTTTCAGTATAATATTTCACTTAAGATCTTCAAATTTGGACAGAACTGCTACCAAAGAAACTAAGCTTTGGTTCCAAAACAAAGGTAGTTATGTTAGTGAATTAACTGATGGTTAAATTTCATAAGTTAAACTCTGATTAATTTGGTACTCATAAAGTAGTAGAAGAGATTTTCTATTTATATCACCTTAACCTACAAAGATGATCAATTTAGTTAAGTTAAATGATATTGTATTTATAGTGTATAAATATTCAGTGTGGTAGTATCATATCTAATACTTCTTTATAGAGGACATTTTTGGTGTATGGTTCCTTCTATAACTTTGGCTTCTCCATCTCAAAAGTAAAACATATAGTTGTCCATCTTTGAATCACCTCCAAAAAGTATTACTTTTTCACTATTGTACTTTGATATATTTGTGAGGGTTGTCTCAGTTATTTATAAAATTATGTCAAATTTAAGTTATGTCGGATATAACCCGAGTAAAATTATTTCTAATTTATCACATTCAAAGCAATAAAATATTAATCATACACGTGTTTGATAAATCAAGTCCATTATTAGTTAAGATTTTAGAGAAATATATATATTTTTAACTGTTACCAAAAATAATAGAAGATAATCTTTTTCCGTGTATACGTGTATTATATATAGTATACATATTTTACATACTTTTTAGGAGAAATATATATATTTTTTACCAAGTTATGGCACATGAGCATCTAATTAAAATAAACCAATTAAAGAAAAAAATTGTTAAACTTCGATATATTGGAGACTTCGACGAACTTGTTTTAGGAAACCTAATCTACACTAACATCAATTGATTTTCTTTGAGTAATTTGTAAAGAAATCAATTACTCATATTGAAATAAAAATAAATACATTAAAGATCACAATCTGACTACTTTATTATTATGTAAAATAAAAATATTCATCTAAAATTTTCCCTATTATTTTAACACTTTAAAATTAGATTTTACATTTTAAAAAATATCATTTAATTATTTTCTTATTATTTAAAATTTTAAAAATTAACTCAATTTGTTTGAAATATGTAGTAACTCCTAATATTTAGGTAAAAGATATTAACTTAATTTCGTTGTAGCTTTATATGTACTAAACACAAATTAATACTTTAAAGAATAGTAAGAATTTCAATTTTGTTTAAAATTTTATAGATGTTTTTGTTAACATAGTACTAAAATTTTCATTAGTACGTATACTTCTTTTATTACATGCCTTGTTATAAAGGAATTATAATTAGGAACAATACTTTTCTAATTCAAGTAGGATCAACGTTGTAGGATGGGGTATATGTATAGTTTAAATCGAAAAAGAATTCTATCATTAGTTAATTTACCATTAGATCCTTAAATTATACAAATATTTAAGGGCATAAAAGTCGATCAATATTTCAGGGATATTTTAGTCGTTTAACATTTAACATAAATTATTTGTGCTTTTAGTCTCTATGTTCGTGCGTTGCACGAGTATTTTAAATCAAATATTACCAAAAGCTATTGTAAATAATAAAATAAGCTGATAGTTCTACCTGTAAAATCCAAACAAATTTAATAAAAATGGTAAGCAAATGCAAACCATAAACCATATGAAGATAATTAAGATAGACAATTTTATTCTTCTTGTGATCTTCCATTGCTCAAGTATCCGATTTTTTTCTACATATTCAACATGATTTGATGAACAGTAAATCTTAAAGTATAGATACCTTTCAATAAAGAGTATTTGAGATTTTCGTTACTGTGACCATCCCTTTCCACCCTGAAGATGTGTCCTCTCCAATAACAGTTAGAAAACTGTACCTTGATCAGTTTAAGCTAGCTCTACCAACTTTTCAATTTCAAATATAATACACTTTAGTGAAAAATTAACTTGTAATTTGGTCTGCCGCCCATGTAACTTACCAAAATCTACCTACTCATGATCATCTTCAATTCTTATTCTTAGAACATCTATTCTTGTATATATGCTCAACTTATAAAGTCATAAAAATCCTAGCTAAAAGATACGCCATAAGTTATGGTTCATGACGAAAGCGAGAGAAAAATATTAACCCTCACTCCTGTATCTTGCAATTGTTTTGATACCATTATTATGAAGTTGTGATAAATTTTTTCGAAGAGTTAAAACCTGCAGGCCGTTCGCGAACATGGGGGTGAGTTTCAGACTACCAGTACTAAATTGATCATATTCCTTTGCACTTTTAGGGGGGAAATTATTGCAGCAGTTAGGAACCAAAAATACACCAAAAACGACAAAGGAAAATATTGCTTAGATATATAAGATGTTATCTTTAATTTTAAAACTAAAGTCATACTCATACATGAGAATTGAGATCACCCTATCAAACAATCAAACCTTTGTAACTCCAATTCTGTAGATTATCAACTCTCAAGATGCTAATACCAGCTAATATAAACCAACTCCAAACATAAAAGAAATTGGCAAGTACGAAATAAGACAATGTTTGTCAAATTCTATGATTACTACAAAGAAAATTCTCAAAGTTCTTGATACCTAGTGAAGTGTTGGTTTGACTCTTGAATTTACGGGCAATAATAATAAATAAGAAGCACTGCATATCTTGAGCATTGCATATCTTGACAATCCCATCCCCACCATCCCACCCCCATATCGGCACTTCCCCAGAATTCACAAGAGTACTTTGTTTTTCTAGATATCAGTAATGCTATGAACAATCAAGATTAATAATATTTGAAGCCAATAAATTAAATAAGAAGTAGATAGGAAAAACTCACAGTTCAAATTCGAAAGCTTCAATTTTGAAGTAGCAGCAGGGTCTACACATAGAAACGAAAAACAAAATTTTGTGTGTGAGTGAGAGCAGAAAAAATCTTGCGGAACAAAGAAAAAGAAAGTGAGAAAGATGCAGACGCACCTGAGCGGAGAGGCGTTTGGGTTGCCGCGGTGTAGCTTTAACACTATACTGTATAGGAAAATTTTCATAAAGCACCATCTTTTTCATTTAATTAGCCATTTATAGAAACCCTTTGCTATATTACGTGTTATAGATACCTTTTATGTTTTTATACAATGTATTTCATGTATTTAAGCTGTTGTATTTATTAATACAACCAAAAATATAGGCGTAAAAACTGGAATTCCAGCTAAGTTTGACATGTATTTAGCTATATTCAAGCGACACTAACATTAAATACAGTAACGTATCTGCGCTAAAAACGGAAGGAAATCAAATCACATGATATTCTCCTAATTTAACTCAACGAACTAAAACGATCCCTCATTAATCTGTATTTGAAAGATACATGATAAAGATTATAGCTGAATAAAGAGAAATACATATGAATAATACAGTTGAGTAGAACTGTATACAGTTGAATACAACAAAAAACGACTTAATTCATCTGAATAAATACTTGAATACAAGAAAAATACAACTGAATACAGCTGAATAAACTCTTGAATGCAACAAAATACAGCTAACTTCTGCTGAATAAAATAGTTGAATACAACTGAATACAGTTGTATAAAACACCTGAATACAACTAACTACTGCTGAATAAAATAGTTAAATACAACTGATTAAACCTGAATACAAGTGAATACAGCTGAAATATACATTCGAATACAACTGAATACAAATAGGCGAGTTGGGCGATCTAGAGAGAGAAACAGCCCTATGGCTTCGCCGGCCGACGACCAGCCAGCCCCCTAACACATCTGCCCAACCTCCTACAACAACTACAAACAATCCCCAGCCCTCAAATCCCACAAACGAAGCCAGGAATTACGCAAAAGTTGTGAACCCTACTTCGACGACCACTGCCATGAACAATCGAGCCGCTACAGTTGAACCAATTGCTCTTCGTCTATCAAAATATTACTTACCAGGCGTGTAAAATTCTCAAGTAAAACAATGATTCCGTGAAGAGTTTGAATGTGGGATTGATAATGGCGGATAAATTGAGAATTTGGATGGGAGAAGAGTTAAGAAACGAGGGTTTGTGGGAGAAGAGATTCTGGTTGTATGCAAAAAGAGAGAGATTGTATTGGGGTTTGCAGATACACGATAATTATGTGAGAAAAAATACAAAAAGAGAGAGAGAAAAATAATATTTAGCATATATGGTGCCTTAATTATAGGATGTAACTATATTTAGATTTTTTGCTATATAGGATAAAAGGTATATATAGGATGTAATATTTTAAAATGATATTTATTTAATATAAATATGGTACTAAGGTTTTCTATAGGGTGTAAAAATTCCTACTTTATACTAATTTCCCCCCAAAATTCAAAAAGGATAAATTACATTTTTACCCTTTTTTAAAAAAAACTTTAGAGCTTGTTTGGATGGATGTTACTGTACCTGTCTAACGGGCCGGGTCAGCCCGTATTCGGACCGGCCCGGATCGATTTAAACTGGAACCGGCCCGGACCGGTAGAAGGGGGCCGTGTTGTGCTAGGTTATAGGGGTAGGAGGTTTGTTCCGTTCACATTTGAACCACCGGTTAACCGGACCGGTCAAACCCGGTTAACGAACAACACTATTTATCCGGTTAACCGTCCCGGCCCGGCCCAGACCAGTATAACTGTAACATTTTTTTTTTTTAATGCTTGGGCCTCTTCTGACCGTTGGCAACGTCCATTTCACAATATGGCCGTTGCCCACTGAAATTCACTTTTAGCCCAATTTTTGGGTGTTTTTTTTAATAGAAAAATTAACCTCATTTGAAAAACTATAAATACCCCCCCCCTCCTCATTTCTTCACTCATCTCTCAATTCTTAATCTCAATTTTCATATTCTCTCATTCTTCAATCTTCACTTAAAGTGCAATCAATTATTTGGCTCTTTTTTTTTTTGAATTTAATTTATCGTAGTATTTATTATTTGAAGTTTGAACAATTGAACTTCAAAATTGGAACAATTGACGTTTCTTCGTGGTAACATTAGAGTTGCGAAATCATCAAGTGCTCAATTTATTACCGAATTCGGTGCACTCCCTCCAACTCTTTCTCTTATTTACTATTTTATTTGCATATTTAATTGTTGCTGGTAGTTAAATTTTTACAATATGTTGAATGCTGCAAAAAGAGTTTGTAATAAGGTTACTAATCGGGAAAATAAAAAAAAAGAGGCAGTACTTCAGCATCTGAAAGTAATTTAAATACCTCTACAAATATTCGTGAAATATTACCTGATAATAATATAGATTATGAACAATTCCAGGAAGATTTCGGTATAGAAGATAATGAATTAGAAATGAAAGATGAGATACCACTTACACCTAGTAGTGTTGGAGCTGGTAGCAGGGGTGGTGGTCGTGGTGCTAGTAGTAGACCACCTGTGGCCCCGACTACGACTAGTAATCGTAGAAAAAGAAGTAAGGTTTGAAATTTTTTTGAAGATATACCGAATAGTCATAGAGTTAAATGCAAACTTTGTAATGATACTTTTAAACATAAGACTGGAGGACAATTAGGGGGACTGAGACACATAGTAGACATATGAGAATTGAACATCCTATAGAATGGGGCTCTGATGGAGATGGAAATCAAACAACTCTAAACCCTACTATTGGAGGTCTTATGAAATATGATAAAATGAAGGATCGTGAAGAGCTAGCAAAAATGATTACTTTGGGTTGTCTACCTTTTTCTTTTGCCTTTTCATCATATCTTATTATGTATATTCAAAGGATTTACAATCCTTTATTTAGAGGTATTCCTAGAAGTACTTGTAGATCTGATATCTTTAGACTTCATGGACAATATCAAACATACATACGTTATTTGTTTAGCCACCTTCCTTGTAAAGTTTCTCTAACTTCTGATATTGGCCATGCTATTAATGGAAATGATTATTTGACAATTACATGTCATTGGATTGATGATAATTATTGTATGCAAAAACGTATTATCGCTTTTAAATATGATGAAGATCAAAGTCATACTGCTACGTTTATAAGTACTACTATTTGTGAAGTTGTTGAATTTTATAATCTCAAGCAAAAAGTATTGTGTATGTCTTTTGATAATGCTTCTAACAATAATGCCACAATTTCAATATTGAAACTGCATTTGCAACCACCACTTGATGAAATTTTTCATGTTAGGTGTGCATGTCATGTTTATAATTTAATTGTTAAAAGTGGCTTTGATTTATTTTTAACTGAGATTACTCATGTTAGAAGAGCAGTTGGTATTATTAAGGAAATAATAGACAATCTAGAATAAAGAAATTTAAGAATAAGTGTATCCAATATAACCTTAGACTCAAATTCATGCGAGACGAAATTGTTACTAGGTGGAATTATACATATATATTTTTGAAATGTTGTTACAAATATAGATTCCCAATAACTGAAGTTGCTAATGTGCATTGTACTGATCCAAACAGTATGTTAACAACTACTACTTGGGAGGTCATTAATGATGTTGTTAATTTTTTTTTATAAATTTTATACAGCTACTGTTGAGTTTTCTGGAGCATATTACTCTTTTATTGCTATGGCTTTAGTACATATAGCTGAAATTTCTTTTCTACTCTTTGAATATAAGAAGAAAGAAAGATATATGGATGTTACTGAGAAACTACAAGCAAAATTCAAAAAATATTTCTTTCCAATTTCTCAGATTTACTTAATTGGTGTTGTATTAAATCCTTCTATTAATATGTATGATTGTCACCAATTAATGAATGCTTTATATACTTATATGGAGATTGGACCAACCGAAACCCCAGATATATATGTTTCTATGAACAAGCTAAATGATTCTTTACAACAATTATATAATTATTATGCAAATATAATTGATATGCTGCTCTTAATGTAGGCAATGTTAATCCCACTATACAATGTACCATTTTTACTACTGTGGATGATGAAGAAGGCCTTGATAGTTTTAATATTTTTTTTTTATTTTCTAACACTCAAACCGGTAGCAGGAACATTTATGAACTTCAATTTTACTTGCAGAAGAAAAAAGAACCTCGCACAAAGGAATTTTCACCATTGGGATGGTGGCATGAGAATGGAAAGCAATTTTCTGTTCTTTTCGCTATGGCTCGGGACGTGCTGAATGTGCCAATTTTAACTGTTGCATCAGAGAGTGCATTTAGCCAAGCAAGACAACAACTTGGAGACACCCGTCACTCATTGGGAAGCAATGCTTTGGAAGTTTTAGTATGTTTTAGAGATTTGATTAGATCGGAACGAAGAAATCAAGGGCGTGAAGATGTTGATATCCCAGAAGACGAGGAACTTGGAGACATATTAACACATGGTAACCCATCCGAATTTAACATTCCAGAAGAAGGCCACTCATTTCATATTGATTATGACGAACTTACTAAGGCAATGCAAAACCTTTGAAAGTTTGAATTTACTCTTTTTTGGTTAATTTACTTGTTGTTAAATGTAAACCATTCAATTTGTAAGTTTGAATTTTGAAATAAATGTAGCACTTGCAATTTATAAGTGCAATTTTTTCCCATCTTCATTGTATACTTTATATTTTTATTTTATATTAATATAACTTACAATAGTTATACAAAATACAAAAAAAAGAAAATTAAAAATAACACTAACCCGGCCCAGCCCTTTCAACCCGTAACCGTTACGGTTCAATTTTTATCCGGATGAACCCAAACCCATTAAACCCGGTATGCCCCAACCTGTAACCGGCCCAAACTATAACCCGTACGGGTAATAAAATTCCCTACCCGGCCTGGTCCACCCGTTAGACACCTATAGTTGTTACCCATCGTTTTATAATGTATTATATTGTATTGTATCATATCGTATCGGTTTATGAATACAACATTTGGATAGATTGTATTGTTTGTTATTGTTAAATAAAAGT